ATCAAGTCTAGCTCGGTTACAGTACACGAACCTCCATTGTTAGAAAAAATATGATCATTGATTGTTATTCTGAATAATTGGTTGGTATTCTTGGAATTTCTTCTCCTCTGTACCCTAATTCATTAGTTTCATTTGCTTTTCAGGTATTTATATACACTCCGAAATACTTCTAGAGATCTTTTAGCACTGGAAATAGCTATCATGAATTCTCAGTTAGATGCATCCAATCACAATCCTAATCAAATATGGTGTAGTCGTTACAGAATACTTTCTAGACGCTTTGTCCTTTATACCACTTTATTTGCAGTTATACAAATTATTCTTGTCTTTCTTTTCATTGATCAATCTCAAGTCAAGTATTACCAACAGTTTTTGATAAAACTAAAGCTAACGCCATCCGATTCGGTTGATAAGTTGGCAAAACAACTCAAAAATTTATATGAAGAACCTACAAATAGAGTTGTGTTAACGGACGACCTTAAGCTTAATGAAACGTTGCAACATAGAGCCAAAACTCGCAGAAACCGCTACTATTTAAATGATTTTGAATATTTTCGAATGATTCGAAGTGAGTTTCCTCAAACTGAATCTGCTGCAAAACTCGGACTTGTTACAGGCTTTGGACCTCTTTTGCCAACAGCATTGGATTCTAAAGATGTCCTATTCATTGTAATGGGCAGTGCGAAACAGGCTCATAAGGCCAAGCTTCTTACAGAAACATGGTTGCAATGGTCTCAAGGAAACTTCTTCATCTTTGCTGATGCTGCTGACGCCAGTATTCCTTTGATAACTTTGCCTCAGCTTGAAAATAAACCTTCAAGAGACGATGCACAATATCGACAATTCTATGGATCACAATGGTTAATTAGTAATAAGTCTGAATTGATTAAGAAAGTAAAATGGTTTGTGTTTACAGATGACGATACGTGGATTAATGTGCCTGCTATTCTATCTTATCTTAAATTCTTTGATCATCGATTACTGCTATCGATTGGATATATTTGGGATGATATGTGGGTAACAGGATGGGCATACTTCACTGGAGGTGGTGGTATTGTACTTTCTCAAGCTGCATTCCTATCAATCATACCATCAATTTTCACGAAAGAATGTCCTTTCCAAGTATGGAATGATGTGACGTTCATGTACTGTCAGAAACAAAAAGGGGTGACTAAAATTCACTCAGATCGATTCTTTTATGAAAAGGCACACGTCATCGCCGCATCTCATCATCTCATACCTGTTTCTTACGTTGGCTTTATAACTTTTCACTATGTTAATGATCCCAAGATCGCGAGAAGAATGACATGTGATGTCTCTGTTTATTGGAAATGGCCCATCAAAGGATGCGACAATGTTACGCGAGATGACATGCCTCATCAACGTCTATGATAGCTGAATATTTACAAAATACTAAGAGGTTAGAAAAGAGCAGTATTGGTATAATATCTCACTATAAATATATTATCATGAGCAGAAATGTCTGACAATTCATTAGTGGCTGATTCGCTCGCTCCTATACTAGAAAATGATCGAATGGAACACATATAAACGTATGGAGACAACTACGAAAAGTACGCCTCGGAGAAAAATTAAAGGTTCTTCATCAGAACGAAAGCCAAGTTCTTTAGACTTTAGAACATCAACGAAATTCAACTTGAAAGAGAAAATCATTCTAAAATACAAAATTAAAGAGCCAGGAAGGTAAAAGATTAGCATCTGAATGTGGATGTGGGTGTATATGTTGGTTGGGAAATTTATAGCAATCGCACGAACTGGTATTTAGATTTTGCTAGATCTTATCAAGTGGCATAGGATATTAGTATAAAAGATTTAAATAGAGAGTGTATTCATCGTAACGTATCTACTCATCTAAAAATAATGGAATCATATGGTCAACGATGTGTATAGTTGCCACAATACCTGGTATTTAGATTTTGCTAGACGCTTGATATGTTTTGCAAAATCCATGTCGCGATGGAACTCAGTAAACTTGAACGTATTTATTGAATTTATTCAAACATGTTTTAATAAAAATTCAATCGTTGATTAGTGGAAACATTTCCATCATAATGTTTTTGTGCTTCGTTTTCTTTCCTCTTAGGAACAATTGAAATAATTGTTGAGCCGTTGTAACTGTTGTATTTTGAGAATTGGACACTTTTACTTATCTAGAGTGAATAAAAATAATTTTGATTTTAATATAGTTAGTATTTGAATAGGAAAATGAAAACGACAATCAAAAGACATTTCTATTGTAAGCATTGCTTAGACTAATATCTGCAATGGTTAATATTTAAGAGATAACGATACTGTCCTATTGTCATATGTTCATTAGAGAACATCATTTTTGGTCAGTAAAAAAGCTTTTTAGCGCAGACTCTTAAGAGTTGACATTAGAAGCTCACATATGACGTCCTCCAGCCTCATAAAATCAATACGAAAGATGCAAAGTGAAAAAATTCTCGTAGACAACAATTGTTTCTCCGGATGGTTGAATATTCTAGTGAGAACCTGTGCGATTGTTGCACTTTTAACAGAAACTTTTTATTTTCTGTACCGCGCTATATTTTTTGTTTGCATTATTGCTATTAGCTCATTATTTTGAATTCATCAAATTCGTTTTTCTCAATTAAACATTCTCATTATTATAATCATTAAATTAGTAACAAATAAGTTGATTTTGCTCATAATATCTACAGCTAAAATGAGTGAGGGTGGAAGCCGTAAAAACTCGAACTTAAAACTTACACTCACCATTTTCCTCGAACATATAGGTGAGTTCCACAAAATATTCAAACAGTCAGTAGTCCAGTATAAAATGATCAGTTTTTATATATAAGTATCAGTAAAAATGTAGATTTCATCAAAAGAAAAAAAAGTTGTCTCCTTATAAACTCTTGCACATAAGCCGCGGCTATGTTGCTCGACCGGTTTTCTTCAACTTTGATTTCACTTATACATTATGAAAACACATCAATTAGCGGATTTTTTTTCCACCAACCGTACTTCGATAGCCTAAATTGTAGCTGAAATATTCAACTTTGTGTATGAAATAATTTTCCTTCAACAAACCATGTTGATGTTACCAGCGTTCATTGACAAGCATCCCATTCTCGATTGATGTGCTATGGCGTCGTGAAAACTTCAGAATAAACACATTTAGGATAGCATTACAAAAAAAACAACAGTTCTCAGCTCTAGATGTCATCCCATGTTCGGGTAAGAGGTGTCGCTAGTAGTAAAATTTTATCATACAGTAGTTTTTACGTAACCAACTATTTAAGGCTGAAAGTCTTCCAGTAGATACTAAAACTATGGGGCTACACAATGATGAAAGAAAAAGTCTGTTTCAGCAAGTACAACTCGTGATATCGGAGTTTTACAAAAGTTTACTGCAAGCTCAGCTGGTGATATGAATTTCTATCGTCTGCTTTTATAAGAAAAATGCAAAAAGTCTCATATGCAGAACCATGGTTAAAAAAGTAAGTGAAATAATGTATGTTTTGTAAGAAAAAGACTTGTTGCATCAGAAACTCATCTGAGAGAGACTAGAGACGGAACTTTTACTGAAAAGGGCTGAGAGAAAGTTCGGGTCACTTTTTGATGAAAAATTATTTTTTAAAAAAGATTATTTGACTCATTTTTTACGTTGTTTTCGACTATACTTTTTACATTTTTCGTTCAAAAAAGTTTGAGAAAAATCTATAAAACCGGCTGAACCTGTAGTAAGCTTTTGTAAAACTCCGATATCACGAGTTGTACTTGGTTAACGAGACCTTTTCTTTCATCATTATGTAGTCTCACAGTATCAATATCTATTATGAAACTTTCAGCCTTACACAGTTGGTTACGCAAAAACTATTGTATGATAAAATTTTACTACTAGCGACATCTGTTACCCGACCAAGGACTGACAACTGAAGCTGAACGTTGTTTCTTGTACTGCAACTCAATATGTATTCATCCTAAAGTTTTCATGACTCTATAGCACGTCAATCGAATATGGTACGCTTGCCAGTGAACACCGGTAACATAAACATGGTCTGTTGAAGGAAAATTATCTCATACGAAAAGTTGAATATTGCAGCTGCAATTTAGGCTATCGAGGTTGATCAGCATGCACCTAGGCTAATGTGCAGTTGCTCTTATAAAAATTAGAAGATGGTCTGTAAAGCCAACATCCAAAATATTTAGATTTTAAGCCTAAAGTAAATTTTACATAGTTATGTAGAACATCAAAAGATGCATCTGTTGATTAAGCCCCGTTTTTTTCCAGAAATTTCTGAAGATTGCTGTCATCTCCTATTCGAGCAATAAGCTGTTTTCAGCAAAAAGCAGAAAACCTTTTTCCTTTTCTCTCCGTTTATAGTTTCTTGATCGTGAAATCTCAATTTCTCTGCTAATATTCATTCAGCATATTTAGTTCGTTTTGTTTGAAAGAGTACGTCAAGATGCTGCGCAGTACAGAGCCCTTCTTTTGATTAAGCTTTGTGTTTGTTATACATACAAATGTTAATAAAATTAGAGTGCCATTTTTAGAGTTTTTTGAGTTGTTGAACTTTCAATCCATTTTCTTCTCATAAAAAGGAAAAATTTCGAAACAAAGGCTCTATACTGCACTGCATCCTGGCATACGCTGTCAAGAAAAACAAATAACTATATAGGATGAACCTGGTTAGGGAAAACTGATTCGCCAAACGAGTTACTTTCGACCCTTGTTTGGCCAATGTTTCTCTCACGCATCATGGTATAGAGCTGAAAATTTCATGCTATTTAAAATTCCTGAGCTGAAATAGGTTTTTAAGGAAGTCTTAATCAAAAAATAAGTATGTAGTTTTCACGAAAACACAGAAAAATGGTGTATGCTTAGCTACATTGTCACGGAGTTTTCAAAACTTCGCGAGTCTCTTATAAACAATTTTTTTAATCAAAATATACTTCTTTTAATGCTCTGAATACCTATATAAAATTTATCTTTCGTTCTTAAAAAGTAAATGCATAACAGAAGCAAGAAGAGTAGTACAAAGCATATAAAGTAGACACAACAATGGTAGACTTCACATAGTATAATGGTTTTCTTTGGTTTTACAAATTTCTTAATGACATGTACTAAATATAAAATTTTCTGAACCAACTTTTGCCTTATCGATTGGTATAATTTCATAATGGTTTTGATAAAACTTTTTTGTAAAACAGCTCATAACAAAATGATCAAAAAATCATAGCCTATAATACTCCGATATTTTAGTTCAAATACATTAGGTCTTCGAAGTAGACATCTGCAAAATCACTTTTTTCGGTCCCGGTCCCGGCCCGGTCCCGGTGAAGGCTTTTTTAGTCCCGGGCCCGGTCCCGGTCCCGGTTCATTTTTGTGTACTCAAAAAGTGAGTACACTATAGAATCGGTCAGTATGTCCGTCCGGCCGTCCGTCCGGCCGTTAACACGATAACTTTTGAAAGGAGAGT